TAAAATGATTTTTTGACCCCTCAATATTATCAGTTTAGTTGTTGTGGCTCTTACATTTTCAATAAATTCTTTTTGGCCATGATTTTGTTCAGTTTAATAGCATTGTTTTCCCCTTACTAAAATGTCGATGTTGAATATTTTTTTAATTCTTTTTATGTCATTAAAAAAACTAAAAATATTAAAAGTTGTTAAAAAGTTGATATCAATACATTAAATTAGGTTTATTATACAAATTGGTACATAAACTTGGGAACTTTACTCAAATTGGTACTTTGACTATTTTTATAAAATTGAGCTAAAAAAAAATTCTGAAATCGGTATATATGTTGGCTTGACATCTCAATAACCAATCAAGTAATTGATGTGTTACTGACCGATCAAAATAATGACATCAGTCCGAATGATTGTTATATTACTACATTAATACAGGTATCGTTTCAATTTTTTTTTAAAAAATTTAGATACTAATTTGAGAACTTTTCTAAATTCACGTAAATTCTATGTAAATGTATAAACTTCTATCTAAATCTTTTCTGGAATTACTAGTGTTCTCGCAATTGTAGTTATAGATAAGAAACACAAAAAAATTAAAATGATATTAATCATTATTAGTTTTCTATCACTTAGTTGGCCATGACATCATCCATTAGCTTTCCTCCGTTCAGCTAAACCAGGTCCCTGAACTGTCAACTGATCCATGGTTAAATATGGTGCGATATTTTTAAAAAAAAATTATTTAATTTTTAATTTTTTATTTTTAATATTTGTTTTTTAATATTTTATCTTTTATATTTTAAATTTTAGATTTAAAATAATTTTATCTTTTTCTTAAAAACTAAATAAATTCTTGAACTTTAAAAAAAAATTGATTTTCAAGTTCGACCAAAAAACTAATTTATTGAACTGTCACGTCATTACCGTAACAATCAACAACGAAAATTATTAGTCAAAAGACCATATTAATTTTTTAGTTTAATAACTACACTAAATTTAATAAATCATTGAACTTTAAAAAATAATTTAACCTTTAAACTCGACTAATAAAATCAGTTTAACTAATCTATCATATCATCAATCATTATGAATCATAACATCAACACCGTGAATCATCATGTCAGTATCATAACGATCAACGATGAACACTATTGATCAAAGGGTCATATTAAATTTTTATGAATTTAAGGATCAGATCATGAAGTGTAAAAATAGTTTAGGAACCATATTAATATGTTTAAAAATATTTGAATGCCTCAATTACTATTAAATCTAAATTAAATAATTTAGTTTGAATTGGTCAATACATGACATGTGCGGAAATTCATTTCGCTTTCGGCTACAAAAGGAAGCAACTAGGAACTGAAAAAGGCTTTCCAATAAAAGATTTCTTCGTCAGAGACTTTGAAAGAAGCGACCATATCGGACGGTAATACGATAAAAGAGCCTCATCCCTTAAATTTTAAAAAATTATAAATAAATAAACATTCATCCTTGAATAACATTATAAAATTAAATTAATATATGGGAATGTCAAAATTCCATGTTCATGTCTCATGTTATATGAACCAAACAATGGTGGTCCTTATAAAATATTTAAATACTTTTTAATTATGATAATTAGTTTTTTTACCAGTCTAACGTAAATATAATATTGAATCTAATCAAATACTTTTAATTATTTAATAATAAATGTTTATACATTTTTATATATTTGAATAATTTGATGCTCCAATTTAAAATTCTAAAAAATAATAATAATTTTTTTAAATATCGAGATCAATTAAGTCATACATATTAATTGGATATATTTTTTTATATGATATTTAATATATGTGTTGTTTATAATGAATTCAAGTATTTTGCAGTTAAAAAGGAAAATACTTAAATTAGATATAAAACACATTATGACACATCGATCACATATGATAAGGAAATTTTCTTAATTTTAGCTAATAATATTTCTATTATTTAATATTATATTATTCTAATATATTTATTTCAAATTAAAAAGATGAGAATTGCATTATTGAAGCTTTTATTCACAAAACGAGAATCGAACTTTTGAGCCAAAATTTTTAGAAAATTTAATTATTAAGCGTGAAAAAGGTTGAATAATTGTTTGAAAAGGTTTGAATAAATTGAAAAACATTTACAATATATTTTACAACATAATTTGTACTCTAAATTATTTTTACAAAAATTAATAATTTTTATTAAGTTCAAAATTAATTTTATAATTATTTGTTATATCAAAATATAAACTTAATATTTTTAAATTACTTCAGTATTTTGGGGGATTTTTTTTTTTGTGGTGTTTGGGGGGGGGGGTTGTGGAGAGAGAAACAACGTCTTGGAGATTTTTCCATCAATAATTGAGTGTCGTTTTTCATCCTTGTATGCTTCTAGGGAGTCTCTCTCAATGCTACTCTTGGTGCTGTCGTGGTGAGCACCCATGATAGCGACACTTGTTGTTTCTTGGTGAACCAGCTCGGCATGCTTTGAGATTTGTAATGTCACACCATTTTTCAGCGCTCGAAAAAAAAATATTTGACTGAGTTCCCAGTCTCGTTTTCCTAGAGATAATAAACTTCAACCGATAATAGTACAATAATATTGCATAGTAATAACAAACAATCATCGGTCTATTTGGAAAAAACGTTAAATCCATAATCCTAATTAATCGATCATAAAGTTACATATGAATGATTAATAAAAAATAATACATCAAATACAAATATATTTTCCTTTTATGTTTAGAAGAAAATGTTATTAAATTCATTGAAGATCAATTAATATTTAGGAAGAAATAAAGGGAAAAAAGTAGGCGATTAGTTGTACTTTTACTCAATTAGGGGGCATCTATAGTTAATTGAGTTAATCAACAAATAGAAAAGATATTGTACTAATTAACTCCAAGTTTTGCCATGGCAAAAGGGCCTACAACAGTACAACATCACATTTTAAGCCGAAACAGCTCGGATTCCTGACTCCAACTCCGTACACCTAATATGTTTGAACTGGACCTCCAATGCCCATCTGCCACATTTAACTCACTGTTCATTCCGTCACGCTCACACCCTCACCATGGAAAGATACTATTCTTCTCGCTGTTATCCTCTCCCTCTCTCTCCTCCTCTCAAAGGGGATCGAAAATGTTATCTAAAAGGATAATATTCTAGATTACATGTAATGTAAAATATTATTTTATTTATAATATTTTTATAGTCAAAATTTTATATTCTTCATAATATTTTATGTTGTAACACAAAATGTTATGAAAAATATAATATTTAAATTTATGTCCAATTTAAAATGTTATATTTTTGATAACATTTTCGACTGTACTTGATTTTTATCGTTTTTTAATCTTAAATTAGATTGTTATTTTTTAAATTTTCCCGTAAAAGACTCTAAACCACAGCATACTCTTTGAAAACAAAGATCGTCAACGTAATTATGATTAGGGATTAGTATTCGATCGAGTTGATTTAAATAAAAAAAAGTTGTTTAAGTTGATAAATTCTATATTATAACTCAAACTTTATTTAAATTTTTTTAGAGTCAAATTGAGTTGTTTGATTTTATGTTTAAATTTAATTGTAAATATTTAAAATGTTATGGTATTATTTGATTTTAAATTTAAATTATTTTTTATAATCATATATCGTGCAGAGTTGAGGGACTCAACTTAAACTAGAAAATTAATCCACTTATTACTAAAAATTTTGAGTTATTCAATTTCTATTTTATAACTTGACTCGAACTTGATTTTTTTTTCAAATTGAGTTTTGTTCACCCCTAATTACGTTAAGGGATGACTCAATATGCACATGTTAAATTTATTAAATTATTTTGAATTAAGATTAAACTAATAAAAATATAAGTATATAATATTAATAATATAATTATATTAATTAAAAAACATACATTAATTTATTAATTTAAGGGTAAATTAAATAAGATATTACTGAATTTTAGGTGGTGTATCGTTTATACTATTGAACTATTAATTTCTCTAATTATAACATTAAAGTTTGGTTTTGACTTCAATTGTACTACCTTTAAATTTGAACAATACGATGATATAGATGGATCATTCCGTCATTGTGATGTTGTGGACAAAACGATGTCAATTTTGGTATGACTATGGATGCCTAAAATGATGTCGTTTTAGACATTGAACTTTAAGGATGAATCGATTTCACCACTAAACTTTAAAAAATATTCATTTTTTTCTCTAAACTTTTTTTGCCGTTGTTGGCAACCAATTTACTAGTTGTCTTTCGTAGCAAGATTGATATGAAAATGTTTGTATTTTACTATTCTTTCTTCTGCTATGATTGATTTTCTATGAAATTCACTCAAAGTTGACGAAAATTCATTTAAAGGTTTGACGCACTAATATTTCGATCTCTTTCGATGGTCGTTCAATTAGGCTAGTTTTGAGGTATGTTGTTCGTCTTCTCGAAATAATGCTTCTCACCGTTTGGATTTTCGAACAAACATCTCAAATTCCTCAAATCTAAGAAAGACCTCAAACCCATAAAATTGATGGATTTTTTTGTTTAATTTAATCGATTTTGAATGAGTTTCATGAAAAATCGATCATAGGTAAAGAAATAGGAGTGAAATACAAATGTTTCAATATGAATCTTGTTGCGAAAGAGTACTAGTGACAGACAATGATTGGTTGTTGGAGTTGATTGGAAAAGTGTAGTGTCAAAAAGTGAGCTTCTAAAAGTGAATAGTTAGATGGTATAAACGATATACCACCTAAAGTTCAGTGGTATCTGGTGTAGTTTTCCTTTAATTTGATGATCAAATAACTGAATTAAAATTAAAGCGTAACAAGAGTTTTAATATAGTGACCAAAACAGAAAGAATCCAATAATTTGATGAGTAATAAACTGATTTACCCAAAAGGAAAATCAAAACCTCAATCATTGATCGCACTATAAAACCCATGCTTTTTCCTTTATCATCTTCATACAATCATATAATCAACAAAGGCAGCAATGGCTTCCACCGTCCATTCCCGATCAACCCCCATCATTCTTCCTAATTCCTCCCTTCAAACTTCATTCCTTCCCAAAACACCTCAGCTTTCCATTTTCAAGAAGAAAAATCCTTTCACCTTTGCCTCCAAGAAACTAGTGTCATGCAAAGCCAGCAATGAGAACCAAAACAATGAACACTCCTCTTCTTCTCCCAATAGGTTCGATAGAAGGGACATCCTTCTCGGCCTAGGAAGTGTTTATGGCGCAACCAACCTTGTGAGTGACCCATTTGCATTGGCAGCCCCAGTAGCCGCACCTGACCTTGACCTCTGTGAAAAAGCAACCGTGACATCGAAAAGTGCAGGCACCACTAAAGTCGCTTGCTGCCCACCGAAATCAGCGAATATCATAGATTTCAAACCACCCAAGTTTTCAAAGATACGTTACCGGCCGGCGGCACATATGGTTGATCCTGAATACTTGGATAAATTTACGAAGGCTATGGAGCTGATGAAAGCTCTTCCTATGGAAGATCCACGTAGTTTCATGCAACAAGCCAATGTTCATTGTGCTTATTGCAATGGAGGTTACGATAATGGGAGCCCCAACCAAGAACTTCAAGTTCACTTCTCATGGCTGTTTTACCCGTTCCATAGGTTGTATCTCTATTTCTACGAGAGGATATTGGGGAAGCTGATTGATGATCCAAATTTCGCTATGCCGTTTTGGAACTGGGATGCTCCCCGTGGCATGGTTATCCCTGAGATATATGTAGATCCTGACTCTCCACTCTACGACGAGAAGCGCAATGTGAACCACCAGCCGCCCAAAATGCTCGATCTTGATTACGCCGGCAAGGAGGAGGAATTGTCAAAGAGAGATCTTATAAAGAGTAATCTCACTGTGATGTATAGGCAGATGGTACCCAACAGTACCGCTTCTCTTTTTCATGGAAAGCCGTATCGTGCCGGCGAGAAACCTAGTCCGGGAATGGGATCCATTGAGAACAATCCACACACCGCCATTCATCGGTGGGTTGGAGACGATCGGGAAAAGTATAAGGAAGACATGGGGAACTTTTATTCTGCAGGTAAAGACCCGTTGTTCTACGCTCATCATTGCAACGTTGATCGATTGTGGAACATATGGAAATCTTTACCAGGGAAGAAGCGACGTGATTTCACCGACACAGATTGGCTCGATTCCTCGTTTCTTTTCTACGACGAGAATGCGAACCTGGTTCGAGCCAAGGTCCGCGATTGCCTCGACACAAGGGTTTTAGGGTACGATTATCAAAAAGTTAACATCCCATGGCTTAAAAACAAGCCTACTCCTCGAAGGCCTGGTCGGGTCAATGGGAAAGGTCAAGCAATGGCAGCCGAAGCAAACACCACCCCCACCACCGTTATCCGTAATGTCTTCCCTATAGTTCTAGACAAGGTGGTCCGCATTGAGGTTCCAAGGTCAAAGAAATCAAGGACTAAGCTTGAAAAAGAAGATGAAGAAGAAGTACTGGTTCTTCAAAACATTCAAGTAGACCGAGATGTGGAGGTGAAATTCGATGTGTACATTAACGACGAAGAAGACGAGGCACCGACCGAACCGGAAGATTCGGAGTTTGCCGGGAGCTTTTCGAATATACCTCATAACCAAAACAACCGAGGGATGAAGCTTGACACAAGCTTGACTTTGCCAATATCGGATTTGTTGGAGGATTTGGATGTGGAAGGTGATGACAATATTGTGGTGACTTTGGTGCCTAAACAAGGGAAGGGTCTCGTTTCGATTGGTAACATTAAGACCGACTACATCAGAGATTGATTATCATATCCTGTGTTTTATGTTATAAATAAGGTCATCATATATCTATGGCCATAGAATCCTTTGTTGGTGAAGTAGAGTGAAAATGGCTCGGTCCTTACCGGCCAGATCTTAGGTAAAAGGTTTTCAAAAGGCTAATTACTTTGTAATTTAGCTTAATCCTCAGTTTGCCATTTGTATTATCAGTTTGGTTTTCGGTTTATCGTATGTATTACTATCGTTTTGCTTATTATTTTGTCTAAACGAGTAGTTTTACCGTGCATTGTCCTAACCTAAGACTAATTGTAAGTAGATTTTATCCTAAAATGTTATCATCTCTTTCCTAAAATGTTATATAATTAGTAATAATTTTGGTTAAAACGGAAAGTATTACACTGTTATGGGTTTTAACCTAAAACATTATATATCTATTCTAAAAAGTTACATAATTATTAATAATTTCGATTACAATCGAGAATATCTTGACAATAACTTTTTATGTTGCTATTGGAATAGTTACGCAATTTACTTAATTTATTAGGGAGAATATAATAATTTTAGTTTCAACCTAAAATATAATTCAATATATAAATTTTTCAGCCGGTTTCTATCATTTTTCAACCTTATATTAACCCGTTGTATTTTAGACTCATCCATGAACTGCATATATCATTTAAAAATAATTTGTGATTCAATTTCATATCAAAGTATAATAAAAAAATTTAACGTAACCTATTTTTATGTATATAATTTTGTCATTTAACTATTTTTTTTTCATTTTTATATCTAATGTCACTTTTTGTTTGTGTTTTGATTCCGTAATTAATTTTAAAGTTTCTACAAGATGGACTGTGATTGTTGAAGTTGGAGTTGAATTCCATGAAAAGAGGGAGAGAAGAAGAGAGAAAATAAAAGGGTAAAGTATAGAAATAGTCTCCAACTATAGGATACTGTTTCGTTAAGTTTCTTTGCTATGTAAAGTTATAAAATTATCTCCGATTATAGGCTGATATTTTTTTGAGTTATTGACTATTAAAAGTTATAAAATGGTCAGTTGACTATTCATTTACTCCAAACTTGTATTTTTCCGTAAAAATATTTACAGTTGTTTGACCTGAACATTAACTTATTGATTGATATATAATAAAATATGACCCCAAAATCGTTTGAGTTATATAGTTGTTTGAGATTATATGATCAGATTTTATCATATCTTAATTAACAAGTTAACATCTAGCTTAGACTGTCATCAATTTTTTAATGAAAAAGTACGAATTTGGAACAAATAGAAAGCTCCACAGTTGAAGCTTTGAATCATACAAAAATTATCTAATAAAATTTCTTCCAATTCTAACTATAAAAAAGAAAAAATAAGTTTTAATAGAATTTCAATAAATAAAGACAAAAATAATCAGCAAATGGAAACCCCGAAAAGAATGCACGTGAAGAAAAAAACGTGGGTTGAATCACTTGTCAGATTTACCCCTGATGATTTGGAAAATTACTGGTTGGATTTGCTGATGTGCAATAAAACTAAAAGAATTTAAAATATATATATACAATATAAAAACTCATAAAATTAAAAAATCATTAAAAGAAAATGTCTAATTTTAGAAACTTATGTTTTATACTAATATTTTTTCTAAAAGTATAATATTATTTGGTTTATTTTAAAAAATTAAAACATCTATAATATTATTAAAAAATCATAAAATTAAAAAAAAAATCTTTAACAAAATTATGAGATTTAAAAAAATAAGTTTGGATATAATTTTAGATTTTTGTGATATTATTTGTTTTTAAATAATGTTATTATTATGTGGAAGGAGGATCATGAGGGTATTTAGGGTGTGAATGCTACCGTATCCGTTGGAAATCGCCGGAAATACACTGCGTCTTCAGTTTTGTTCAAATTTCCCTAGTGCGCTTTCAACTTTGTTCAAACTGCCCTAGTGTGCTCTCAACTTTGTTCAACTGCATAAAAACAGAAAAGACGCATTGTGTTCCTGGCATCTTCCTCGAAAGACGCACTGTATTCCCGACGACTTTTTAGTTACTGACATTCACATCATATCGGAAAATAATTTCAGTGATACCCTAATTCAGCTAATATATTTTTTTAAGAACATTACAACAACAAATCACCCACGGAGGGCATTTCATAATTTGGAGGTCTCCTACGGAAGCTGCTCTCAACCTGGTGTTGGGGGCAGTCTACTATCTTACCTCCCCCTTACCCCATACATATGGGAAAAAAGGGACAGCCACAACAACAAATCAGCCCTAAAAATTCACTCCAACAAGTCGATGGGGCCTGACGGCATAACCTTTAAAGTTAATGAATTGAAGGTAGAGTCTAGTTTTATCATGTCAGATGGTTCAGATTTCTGAAGAAATAACTCAAGTCAACCAGATAGAATTACGATCTAACAAGAAATTGTGTCTCTTCCAAATTATGGTCGTAATAAGTGACATATCCAAATTGAATCATGTGAACTTTTATTTTTAACATTAACGGAAATGGGACATCAAAATTAGACCAAAGGAGGTACAAAAATAATTAGCTATGAAGTCTAAAGTCTTCTCAAAATATTATTACTCTAGTCTGTTCATATTATAAATTAATAATAAAATACAAATTTGAAGGTATCAAAAAACTTTAAACTCTTAATTTTTTTTTCATTTAATTAAGCTTTTATACCTTGAAATGTCATTTATCACCTGTTTAACTAATATTGATAGCTAGATTTTAGATTTTTTAGTTAAATTGATGTTATATATAATATCACTTTATTCTTGATTTATATTTTTTAAAATTTATTATTTTTAATATAATTTTAGAATTTTTAAAAATTATTTTAAAACTTTAATATTTTTTTACAAATTGTCTTTAAAAATCATACAAATTTCACGTGATATAACTATAGCATGTCATGTGACAATATTATCTCATCAAAATTATTAAGATTTAATTGTCAAAATTAATCAAAAGATGTAATTAATTCAATTTATTAATTTAAAATTTTAATTGATTTAATTTTTTATTTAAAAATTCAATTGAATGAGAAAAAACTTCAAAATTTAATTGTTTTTTTCCTAAGCTTCGAATATGCACTTAATCCTAAAATATAATGTCACTTTCCCTTTTTCCTATGTTATAGGTTCAGTATTTATTAGGAGCAAAAATTCTATTTCTCTTTCCTTTAGATATGAACTATTCAAAAGAAGAAGAAAAAAACATTACCAACAAGCATTTGATCTAGTGGGATGAGACAACTATATCCCTAAAATAATATCAGGAGTTCGAATTATAACACTTTGAATAAAGAAAATTGGGTTAGAACTGTGGAAACGATCTGTTATACCAAAAAAATATTTATACAATCTCAGGCAACTTTGTTTCAAACTCCTGAAGCAGTTTTCAATTTCTTAGTCCATCAAAATCACAACTCAAAAAAAGTAGGTTTAATTTACAAAGAAATTGAATTCCTCAAGTGTCTCATGCTACTACACCTCATATATATAGGTGTTACAATTTTTGATGTTCAGCATGAGTCTCAATTTCATGAGCCAGTTCTCGGGTCAGCCTATCGGCACGATCGTCATGTCCGCCTGCGAATGTATAAACCCTGAAAGCAAATTGGAAAGCCCTCCACAGCATTTTAGTGCATGCTTTCTGTGGTCTTTCACCTTTGCTTTTCGACACTTCATTTTCTGCCAACTTCGCTTCTCTTCTCTCCTGTGGAAAAAAAGTCCAATTATTACGTGCTGCGCAAGTAAAAGAACCAGTCTTTAAATTTGGTTGAGTTACCTTCAGTGCCAACTCCATGCAGTTGGAGGAAACATCAACAGTTGCTTCTTTGATTCGTACAATAATTTGGAAGTCAAATTCGATGTTGTGGCCCTTTAATTTCTTGGCTTCTTCATCCTTGGTTCGCTCCAGGGAGTCTATTTCTTTCTTTATCTGTTTTAAGCAAGAACTGGGATTAATGCCTAATGATGTGAATTGCAGTACAATCTTGTATGTCGATTCAAGAGCCAAATGATACCTTGTCGAAGTAACGTTCAACCTTCTCAAGAAGCTGAGTCAAAGGAGGCTCGATCTTCATGTTTTGTAGCTCAGTCACCATTGATTCTAACTTCAAGTAAAGAGCTGATGCTGTCCTTAATGCTTCCAGCTTTTTCCCGGGGAAGCCTTCAAACTTGGCGAGAACCTGCAAATTTCAAGCTAATGATTCACGAGACAATAGATTCATTGCTATATAGGATGATAAAGCTAGACACAACTGGAAATTAACCTGACTTTCATCTGTTAAGTTCTCAAGAATGGATTCCACATACTTGTGGAACTTGATTAGCTCAGACATGTCACTGGTTTTGAATGTACTGATGGTAGTTTTGAGTTCTTTGATTGGTTTTTCATATTTCTTAGCATCTTCTTCGATTTGTATGAAGTAGGTTGATCTGAGACCAAAACAAAGTGAGAAAAAAAATCTACCAAGAGCAACAGGATGGACATAATTTATGGAATTTTGATGCAAGAGACATGTTACCTCTTTGTCATCTCCGCTAATGCATCAGCCATTCCTTGTTGTTTCCCATTCCCACCGCTTGCAGCACCTCCTCCTCCGCCCTTTCTTCCATTAGATGCCGAGGAGCCTCGCTTTGGAACTCCTTCTACTTTGCCTTTGAGATTTCGATATAGATTACTCATATGACTTGATCTCATTAATTTAGTATTTGATTTCTTGGAGCGCAAGCTACCAGGTGGTGGAGGCGGTGGAGCAGCTCCATTCGCCAGTGACGCTCCTGCTGGTGCTGGTGGCGGCGGCGGCGGCATTGGTCCTGATCCTTTTGAAGTCATCATGGGTGGTGGTGGTGGTGGTGGTGCGGGTCCTCTTGATGCGGTTCTAGGAGGAAGAGGAGGAGGTGGTGGTTGTGTAAATGGTGTTGATATACATCTAGGAAGAGAAGGTGGTGATGGTGTAACCGGTGCTTCTTTTTTCACTACAGGAGGTGGTGGTGGAGGAAGTGCTGCTGCTGTTACCTCTATATTTGGCTCTGTTGGAGCTGCTGGTGGTGGAGGGAGTGCTGCTGTTACCTCTATATTTGGCCCTGTTGGAGCTGATGGTGGTGGAGGAGGTTCTGCTGTTACCTCTATGTTTGGCTCTGGTTGCACTGATGGTGGTGGTGGTGGAGGTTCTGCTGCTGCTACCTCTATATTTGGCTCTGTTGGCGCTGATGGTGGTAGTGATGGTGGTGGAGGTGGTGCTGTTGCTGTTACCCCTATATTTGGTTTTGATGGAGCTGGCGGTGGTAGTGGTGGAGGTGGCGGCGATGTTACTCCAGTTGCTGCTGCTGTTTCTTCCAATGCCGAACCCGGTGAGGGCAACTCTGGTTCTTTTGCTTCCAAAGTTGGTTGTAGTTGTACAGCTTCTGCATTTGGTTGGGGTGGCGGTGGTGGGGGAATATCCGATAAAACTTCTGCTGATGTTGCTGGTCGTGGTGATGCTGATCCATCTTCAGCCACTTCTTCATCTCCCGACAACTCGGGAGCTGGTGTCACCTCCGGTGGCGGCGTATGCATTGGTGTTACTGCTGCAGCATTACTTCCATTCATAGTTGAATCACCGTCTGCACCATCCGCACCAGAAACTTGATCCTCTAGTGTCTCGTTTTGAGAGTTCAAATCCCCGGTTTCATCAACAACTTCACCATGTTCTTCTGTATCTTGTTCCTCAATCATAACCTTGTTTTGCTTCAAAAAATTGGGAACTTCATCTCTATAATCAGGAAGCATATGTAATTGCAGTCGCTTCACATCCATGGAGCTCAGTTTCCCCACCGCTTGTACATTGACAGACAACAAAAGAGGTGAGGAAGAAGGAGGTTTTAATGGACTGTTCATCAACTCAGGCAGCACCGAAGTCGGTGAAGGGCAGCAATAGCCATTTTCTTTACAAGGATTAACCTTTTGACTTAAACCCTTATCATTCTCTTCGTCTTCACTAATCATATCACCTTTCTCTCTTGCTATCTTAATCAACCCATCGAGGGTTGCCACCGTAATTTCAACTGCCAAAAGGTGAGAAAAAGGAAAATCAATATCAATTTCCTTGATTGATTGTATCGTCCATAGATAACTGTTCATTTTTTTATATTGAGAATCATAATTGAAGGGAGGACGACCATTAATCAATGTTTAAATAAAAAGATTTAAAAATGAAAAAGACGACATCCGGGTCGTGAGGGTTGCATTTCTTTTAGATTTTATTTTGGTGCATCGTGAGTATGTCAGATATCGTATTTATACACTATAATTGAATAAGTTTAATGAAAATACAGGCTAATCGAAAACTTTGGTGAATGGAGAGGTGTGTCTGAATCCTGATTGGTGAAAAACTTCCAGCTTCAGAGAATCCAGTTTGATTGAAAGATTAGAAATTTTCAAAGATCATCTCCGGGGATATACCACGTTTGAATCAAGAACAAGCAAGTTCAGGAGGCAACTAGACTCGTTTTCGATAACCAGAAAACACAAACAAAATGTACCCCAAAGTTCTTGCAAGTGCTTCCTTTCTTCAAAAACCTCTAATCCCATTTTTCTTTCCAGTTTATCAGATTCAAAATAAAGATAAATATTCTGAGAAAATTGACTTCATACCTAATTCTTCAACACTTTTGGGCTCTTCATTGTCATGTATATCAAGTTTGCATTTGTCTATCCCTTCACCGTTTATATTCGAAACGTCTGCAAGATCTCGCAATGCCGTGCAAAAGTATATCAATATCTGTTCATAGGCAAGTTCAAGTAGATTGTTAGCATTGGGATCAAACCAAAAAAGATGGTTTTATGAAAAAGTTTCAAACCTCTTCAAGGGGTAATCTTTTTAATTTCGATCTACTGAACCGGGGTATGCTTTCAGGGTAGTATTTATGGAGATCTTGCATTGTCCCTATGATCATCTGCAGAAATCAAGACACATAGGCAGATTAAAGATATTCCGACCTACGTTGTTCCGAATCTTCATTTTTCTTAAAATACCTTATCTATGGATAAAGAGGTACTACAAGGTGGTAGATCAACGATGTCTCTAAATGTTGTGATTTTCTTCCTAAGCTCCACCATCAGAACGAAATTGCCTTGTAATGGAGGTGAATTGTCCTTCTGGGAGCCCTTCCTTCTCTTTTGACTCTTGCATGCCTTTGATGGAGACCTTTTTCCCTGCATATATACACGGACGAATGCCTCAGACATGTGAATACAACACGATCCATACAAATTAATGTTCTACAAATTTGCAGGTTCCTTCCAAAAGGGAATGAATGACTCATGCACTCATTCAACAAAAGGAGAAAATTGTGTAGAAAATGGAGATATTATAGAAATTTAACCATACAAAAATCATTAAAAATGGCATTTTCAACACGTAAATTTGTTCTTTGCGTTGCTAACAATGGTGGAACATATATATATAATCCAAGAGAGAAAATTGAAAATAATTACCGGGACAAGTTTGATTGATTTGGAACCAAAAAGCATTGGTGTCAAACCACATGCACTCATTCAACAAAAGGAGAAAATTGTGTAGAAAATGGAGATATTATAGAAATTTAACCATACAAAAATCATTAAAAATGGCATTTTCAACACGTAAATTTGTTCTTCGCATTGCTAACAATGGTGGGTTAGAGATAGAATTCTAGAATTTTAATAACAACCCTTGATTTCTGCAGATTGAAAAACAACATCTATAATCCAAGAGAGAAAATTGAAAATATTTACCGGGACAAGTTTGATTGATTTGGAACCAAAAATCATTGGTGTCAAACCACAGCACATTGCACGCATGATCACCTAAGACGTCGATCAGAATTTAAAATAAACAACAAAACGAAGAAGAAAACCTTCAATGCAACAATGATTTACGTTGGGTAATTCTTTGTAAAAAAAAAAAGAATATCCAAACGAGAACAATCAAAAAGAAAAAAAAATCCAGGAGCGAAATCAGCGAAAAAATAATTGATTTCGTGGATTTTATGGCCTAAAACTCAAACCCAAAAAGAAAAAAAGAAGAATGAAAATGAAAGAGAATAAAACCTTTGAATGAAGAAGACGAACAATCGTTTTAACATTCTTTGCAATTTTCCCAGAAAAGTTTTCAATTCAATAATAGAAAATTGCTTATTATGGAATGAACCATCGTCATCTTGTCTTTGTTTAAAGCTATCTCCCTGTCTTGTAACTTAACACTACTGGTGGTTTAGTGTACATTGTTTTTAGAACAAGTTGGTTTCTCTACCTCCTATAAATCTTGAATTATAGGTTGACCTTGTAAGTTAGGTACGATACCTAGGGTTTATAAAATTAACCTAATTTTTTTTTCGACTCTACTCGATTTTAATTAAAGCATTAGTATTTAATACTGAGTTGAAAGCATTTTATATTACTTGATGATTCTATTATATCAATTTCAAAATGTAACAATGTTTTGTTTATTATAATAGTAACGTGTGAGTTATGCTTAAAATAGGAAATTATGAAGTTATTAAGGTTTTTAATCCAATAAACCATGGAATTGCAACTTATGATTTGTTTTCTTTTAGTTAAAATTTTCTAACTTGAGAATATGTTTTCCAAACTGTAAAACAAATTAAGCTGATTAATTGTAGTTTTAGAATCATGGGTATTTACAAATTTAGTTCTATAAATATAATTCAAGTCAAAGTATCCATAATTGATAATAGTAAATAATCCTTTCGTTTGGCACCGCTTTTCCAACTATTAAAAGTTATAAAATTATCCTCCAACTATAAGGCGTTGATTTGTTGAGTCCTCCGACTAATAAAAAGTTACAAAATGGTCATCAAATTATTCATATGTTCCAAACTTGTCATTTTTCGTTAAAAAATTAATGGCAGTATGAGTTGGACGTTAACTTGATGACTGAGATGTGATAAAATCTGATCTCATAATCTTAAACGACTATCATATCTCAGTCAGCATGTCATCTAGCTCGGATGACCGTTAATTTTTTTTAATAAAAAGGACGAATTTGAAACATAATGAATGATCAGTGACCATTTTATAACTTTTAATAATCAAAGGACTCAACAAAACAATGCCCTTAGTCAAGAGACCATCTTATAACTTTTAATAGTCGATGACTCAATAAATTAGGGGATCATTTGTGTCTTTTACCCAAAAGGAATAAATGATTATACTATTAAATCTACTCTGTTCACGTGAGTAGAGATAAGAATTTCAATCACATAAATAATTAAGAGATAAAATGAACAATTATTATATTGTATTTATCGGTATTTTTTTTTCTCTTTGAACATTTAACAATCACAAATCTTAAACCTATATATTCTTATATATTTTCTGTATAATCTATATTAACCTATAAATAATTAAGAGATAAAATGTTCAATCACATTGAACATTTTTTTGTTTGGGGTAGAAAAAGCCTTAATGGTATTCTAGTTATTATTTAATATGTTTAAGGACCGTTTAAGGTCCACATCAGTTACGTCGTTTATTTTGTAACGACATGTGGTTATATTGAAATCACTTAAATAGTTATGTGGTCATATTACTAAAATTAAAAGTATAATGTCCATATCAACACCAATTCTATAATTAAGTGGTCATTTAACTAATTTATCGTAAAATTTAAGAACGGGTGGAGCTGAAATCGTGCGTGTTTTGCAATAAATCTGAAAGCTAACATCAAACCAAAGCTAAGCCTGGCGTGTCGAGGGAAATATCGGCGTCATTTCTTAAGTACTAAATCCATGGTCAAACCTAACAGATTACAGATCTCATCTTCTCCAATTCGTATTTTAACAAAAATGGTCTAAATTCAAAAATAATTAAGATGGAACAAGGACAGAACAATAAACAATAACCCAATTCAACTGCTAAAAGTTCATGATAAATTATATTTAAGATCACTTTTATTTGAGATCTGTATTATTTTAATCATCAATTTTAATATAATTGTATTTTAATAATTTATATTATAAATTCAGTGTGTTTTAATCATTAAATCATTAATTTTATTAATTTGATGGTTAGTCACGTTAGTTCGAATTATATTTTAGATTTGATGGTACTCGAGACCCTTAACTTTTTTTTTTAAAAAAAAATCAATATGATCCTCAAATTATTTTCACTCAATGTGACTCTCAAATTCAGACAAAATTTAATGTGGCTCTTTGACTGACGGTTCCTATCGTTGACCATTACGATTCTAACGTGACAATATGTGATGTTGACTTGACAGTCCACAATGATTGATGAAATAATAAATGAATTAAATTAATTTTTTGATCAAGTTTGATGATAAATCGATTTTCTTAAAAAGTTCAAAAGATTATTTGATGTCTTAGAAAAAAAAATCAGTATACTATTTCTTTGTAAATATGAAAAACCGAAATCTCTTCCATTTTTCTTTTGGGATTAAAAAGAGCTTTTACATCATCTACTTCTCATCGTCCCTACAAAAATCCAATATATATATATATATATAAACAAGCCTCTAGAACATAATAGCTTCAGATTTTCAGTAGAATCGCATGATTACTTGAAGTAGTTAAGCCATACATACGCTTTTCAATGAAGCAACCAACTTAATTAAGCCGCATACCATATATTAAGGGTAAATTACACGTTTAGTATCTCAACTATCACTTTTATTTCATTTTGGTCATCCAACTATTTTTTTTCAAAATAAAACTTAATGTTACATTTTGGTCACCCACCCTTAAAAATTATTAAATTGTTGACGTGTCATTTTTCTATGATGATGTGGTATTACCTTATTGTGACACATCAACATCGCCGTTAATTTTTTGATGACGGGTGACCAAAATGTAATCAAAACTAAACGTTAAGTATAATTTTGAAGAAAAAAATAGTTGGCTGACCAAAACATAATAGAAATAATAGTTGGGGGTACTAAACTTATAGCTTACCCATATATTAATTGTAAAGTTTATCCTTACTGGACTTACAATCTGAAATTTTATAATATTGTTAGTTTTTAACAGATGATTTTATAGACGTCGTCCACGGGAAATTTTCACTATGGTGCGACAACCGATCGATGAAAATTCCGGGAAATTTTCAATATGAAACTTAACCTCACTTTTCTTTCCTTTGAAAAAATAATCAAAGTTTGTGGATATTTCCCAGATTCATCCTTGAAACTTCGACCTCTTCTTCCATTGTCTTCAAGTCTTAAAGCAATATGTACATTAAAAATGAAAAAATCTTCACATTTATTGAGTCACGAACACATTACAAAAGAATATTGTTTTTGTATCCTAATGTATGTTACAACAAGGTTCTTGAATTTTACCTATCGTTTTGCTTATTGTCAAAAGAACAAATGAAAGATGAATACACATTAAATAAACTAAATGGGGTTAAAGGCATCGAGTTATGCCTTAAGGAATGAGTATCTAAATCATCATTTACATATATTATTCACGGCCATGCAGAATATATGTCCTCTTCTTGCTTGTATTCTGAGCTTCCAACTCCACCAAGTTCCCAATCACAGCTTCAGTTGCAGAGTTCAAGAATTCCGGCCAGTTCCTATATACCAAAAAATCGACAACAGATAAGTAAACAACATTCAAAAACGAGTTTTGTAGTCCATAGTTAATAGCACTGACAAACACATGATCTTACGTTAAGGGTGAATTCATAAAAATAGATTATCAAAAATACAAATACCCTCTCAAAGTGTCGAATGCAAGTCCGATGGTGTACTTGGCGTCCTCGAGAGCGAAGTTAAACCTTTCCAGTTGCTTAGCCGAACGTATCCCATAATCCATAACCTGAAGCTGCGAAGGTTTCACGTCGCAAAATATTGGGATGACCCTCTTTTTGTTCTCCATCAAAAGGGCAAGTTCTTGCATGCAAAAGTATGAATCGCAATAATTGGGAGAAAATATTGCCACGCCGAGTTTACAGCTCCGGATAGCCGGATTTATTTTCCCGAACAACCCGTCACCGGGCTTCATACTCCGACTATCCAAGAAAGGCCTTAAACCCAACCTGAACAAATGATCATGAAGTAAACCGGCAATGGTTCTCTTCGTATCGATCCCTCGGTGGTTGATAAAGATGTCACAAACTGGTCGAGTCATTGTGGTCGCCGCCTTGTTTGGGGTTGGCGGTGGAACTTGAACCAGTTTACGACATAAGTACTTGGCCGACGATGAGCAACTCTGCTGCATTATTGAAGTGACAAAAAGTAACGACGGAGAAGACGGAGGAAAATGAGGTATTTAAAGGACTAAAACAAAATTCTGATTTGGGTAAACTTTCTGTTTACTCACCCACCTATTACTTAATTTCCCTTTTGGTCATCTAACTATTACTTTTTTCAAAATTATACCCAACATTACGTTTTAGTTATATTTTAGTCACCCATTGTTAGAAAATTAACGGCGATGCTAACATGACAATTTTAATTATTTTTCAATATTGATGTGATGTTATTGGTGACATGTCAACATCATCGCTAATAATGATGGGTGACTAAAATAGAACCAAAATGTAACATTAGGTATGATTATGAAAAAATAATAGTTGAATGACCGAAACAAAAACTAAGTATTAGATGAGTGACCAAATAGATAGTTAACTCTTTTGATTTTCAAGGCCAAAAAACACATTTTTGAAATTTGAAGGGCTTGACCTGTCAACCATTTTTCTTCTGATTTTTTGTAGCTTCAAACACGTTTTATATATATAATTTTATTTTAGTGTGTTCGGTTTGTTGACATGGTCTCTCTTATTAATGTAGTAAACATAAAGGTTAATATATCTTTTGACCCCTGACTTAGACTTTTATCTACAATTTGGCTTATGATTTAGTATTTAAAAAATAAAGAAAATTGCTGCATTTGTATCATTCGAACCATGGCCAATGATTTAGTATTTGAAAATTATTGAAAAAAGTATTTTAAAAAAATCAAAATCTAAAACTCGGCTTCATATCTACTGTTGTTTTAACTTTATGTTCTGATTGAACCCATGAATTAAATTTAGTGATAAAAATTATTATTATTTTTTTAAAATTTTAAATTTAAACTCGTGTATATATAAATTATTAAAAAATTAAATTTAAATTATTTCGTAATGTCTCTAAATTATTGAAAAAAATTATATCCCAACTGATTTGACTTATGTACAGACCTCCACTACTAATATTTTGGAATTTGTCTTACGATGAAGGTAAGGATGGATAAAAAAATGTCAAAAATATAATTATTAACGGTTAAATTTATTAATATGTTTTTTTTAACAGGTATGTGTTATTATTGTCAGTGATAAACCAACATTTACTCTTTTAACTAGATAATTTATTTTTCTTTGAATTTCTATTTTTTTCCAAATTAGTTAGGGAATTTGACAACTTTTGTTTACCATGATACATATATTGACATGTCACTTCAACAATTAATGAGATAAATGATGTGATTAAAATGTTAATATCATTCTATATCACGTGTCACAACTTAATTGATTATTAACATATTGTATTTGATCATGGATGAATTTAAAAGAAATTTCAAGTCCATATATTAATTTAAGAAAAGATTTATGTATCAATTTAAGAAAATTTCAAGTCTAGATATTAATTTAAGAAAATTTATGTATCAAGTCTAGTCTATATATGTTTTGAGCCCATTACTTTTAGCCACTTACGACAACGGAATGGGCATCATAGAGTGAGTTTTCTGGGCCCCCAAAAATGGCAAGCTTTTAAATTTTTCTCACTTGTTTGTTTACCTTTTTATTCAGGGATAATCTGGGGATTTTTTTTATAAAATAATTATTTTAGTTCTCAACGTTTTATTTTTAAAAAGTAAATTTTGACTAGATGAAAATTATTAGTTGACTAACTATCAACACGGATCGTTGATGTAATAAGTCTTATGTGTTCAAAGTGATGATGTGGCACATACCACTTGTACATAAGTGATGGAGTGAAACATATCATACATATATAAGTAATAATACGACACATGTCATGTGTACAAACTATAAAGTGATGAATTGGTAAATGCTACATGTACATAAGTATGATGTGACACATGTCATGTGTACGAAGTGATAAATTGACACATGCTACATGTACATAAGTGATGGTATGACACATGTCGTGTGTACAAAACGATAACGTGACATATGCTACATGTACACAAGTGATGATATGATACATGTCATGTGTACAAAATGATCACCCGACTATTCATATATTCCAAACTCGTCATTTTTCATTAAAAATTGATAACAATCAAAGCTGGATGTTAATCAGTTGATTGAAATATGATAGCCGTTTGAGATTTTGGGATCAAATTTTACCACATCACAATTAGTATGTTAACGTTCAACTCATACTGTCGTAAACTTTTTTAACAAAAGGGGATGAGTTTAGAACAAATGAATAGTTTGATTATCATTTTGTAATTTTTAATAGTCGAGGGCCTCAACAAAGTAATGTCTTATAGTGAAGGGATCATTTATGTACTTTACTCATTTTAATATTAATCCATTATCTCCTCAATGATGAAAAATGACATTTTAAATATGATAAATCACATAAGGGAGTATATTTGGTTAATTGACGAAGTTGTTAATATTTATTCCCTTATATTCTTTTAGGTCATAAATTCTAAATTCACTAGAAGTATTCCCTTCTTTTCTTAAAGTCTACATTTCTCATCATCTCTAAGTATGATTAGGATTAGATTCAAAATTTATAAAAAAGTTTTAAACAAAAAAAACCTAATGGGTCTGCTTTTATTTTCTTCTAATTTTAAATATTATTTTTCTGCTAACTATATATATATATATATATATATATAGTGATACATATAGTTAGATATAAGACCAAAATCCTCCAAGAGAGTTCAATATCGGGAGGAAGATGGTGATTCTCCTTGGAGAAAAGCAGAGAAGAAAGCGAGTGAACTGCTTGGTTTGAAACAAGGCACCGCATGCCCAGCTCCTCTAAATGTTGCAAACGTAAGCCCTTCGTATTCTTCAACCCAACCGCTCACCTGACCAAATTAACAACATCAACTTGCTGTCATCATCTGCAATAATCAACTGCCCCTTTATTCGGATTCGGATTCGGACACGAGTACCTGTTTCTCATGGTACCATGGTCTCCATGCCTTAGTGATGGGCAATCCCAAAGCACTTATGCTATACCGAGTAGACAAAACAGGAACTCTTCCATCCGTGTCTCCACTAAAACCACTCCAAAAGCCATTAAAATGAAACACTATGAGTATCTAAAAACACTATTTGAAGCATGCAGAATTTACCTGTAAACCCAAATTCTAATTCCTGCTGCAATGAGATTTTGGTATATGGGAAGTACTGATGGCTTTGTATCTGCCCAACTGTAAAATATATCCATACTGCATTACAAAAGACAATGGAATTGTTCAGTTTAGGAAAACCACAATCGTAAGTCACAAATTGGCTATTTCCGGCCGATTGCGACATCAAATATAGCAATATACAAGCAATTTATTTACTTGCAGATGCTCCAGTTTTTGGCACGGTGACCATCACTAACGTGAAGAGCTTTTTGAACATCCAATCTATGGTAGAAAGCATTTGCGTAGCCATCAAGGCAGGGGTCAAAGCCACCTAAAATCCTTGGTATCTGGTAAGGAAAGAAAAATCCATGAGACCATTATATCATATACTACGGAAACAAAGGAGAATGCAAGTTATAGACAATGATCACCATATTCGATTTTCGCTTCATCATGATTTTGAGTACTGATTTGTCATCTGAACTCGCGGTATCACCGATACAGACAGGGGTGTATAGGCTGTATATATCGATCTCCTTGTACTGTTTGAGCACTTCGTCAACGGCTTCACTACAATCTTCGTTGCTCCATATATCACTGCTTTTGAAATCGCAGGTTTCGGTGATGATTTTGTGAGTTTCATCTGATACCACGGCATGGCTCCACGCATAATCCACCATCCCTCTCCAGTCCTCGGCATCGTATGTTTCGGGATTCCCCAACTGTCCAAATTTTCAGCACGTCAAGCAAGCATTCAATAGTCTAACTAGTTTAAAACAAATAGGACCAGATTAACAACATGGTCCTACCAAAATACCATTGAGCTGAATATAAAGTGAAGGGTCCTTGTTGTTGTCATGAATGAGTTCAGCCAACTCTGGCACATATTTTCCTAGGAGACAAACAAGTCAATTGAGAATCAATCTGTCGAGTTGAAGGCAAATATGTAAGGGAATACCTGCATAGCTTTCCCCAGCAATATAAAAGACTCTTTTTCTGTATGATGGAAACTTCAGGTACCACTTGTGCAGGAAAGTGTAAGTATCATTTGCTAGTTAAAAATAAGCACAAATTAAGATATGATTCTCCAGGGACAATATAAAAATAATTTAGCAGCAATTTGCAGGTGTAATTTATGTGTTGAACTCACCAGTAAACTCATCTCCTAGATTATCATAATCAATAGAAGTGTTTGAGTATGAAAACCCGACTCCAATTGGAGATTCCAGGAATAACATATTGGCTTCTGCATCAGCAATGACATTAAAAAGATAAAAGAACAATTCTTAATAATGGTATATTGGAATATTGAGAGAGCAGCATATACATAGGTTGATAAGTGCAACCAAAAAGAAAGTGTTTTGATTTTATATGATGCAATGACAGATATTTTAATGATAAACAGAGTCATGATGTTGATAACTATATATATATATATATATATAGAAGATTACAAGATAATATTTCTTCAGAATTTTTCTTAATCATTGATAATGCACACCCCCTGCAGACGTTGTTGCTCGATCCCGGGAATACTAAAATTAATAACACCCTGTTTTACCGAGGTCTCTCAATGGATTTGATAACTACAAATTCTAAACTTGTACCTTTATTCCATGAGAAGTTGTTAAATTTAATCCCACGCCCATCAGTGTCCACTAAGAAAGGACCAATCTCTTGTGTGGCTCCATATCCTACAGAAGAGCACCCAGGACCTGAAACACAATCAACTTTTGTCATTTTATTATAAAACATATAGTAAAAATAAATAAACAAATAGACTTGTGGAAATGAGGCTTATTTATATCAATGATCTCCACTAACAGAGAACATGTGACAGTTTAGCCATTAGTGTTACCTCCATTAAGCCAAAGCACCAATGGTTTTTCATCAGGCTGAGACATTGCTTCATAGAACCAATAAAAAAGTGCCCTTCCATTGTTTTCATTCACGGTGATATATCCGGCGTAATGCCGAAAATCTACGGGTGGCTGACCGGGCAAGTCGGTAACGAGATCTTCATGGTTTCCCAGGGAACTCGGTCCGTTTTCGTCGCGCCATCGCCAATGTCGTTCACCTGTGACTCGATGCATTAATGAAATAGTCGAAACAAAGACCAAAGTAAAGAAAAACAAAACTCTCGGTCGAGAACCCATGTTGGCAATGAACAAAACAAGTCAGATAGACTTCAAAGAGACAAGGTTTGGACTGGTGACTATCAAGAAATATCACGAGTATTTATACTGGCATCAATATGGTGGCACTGTGATTTTTTTATGTTTGTTGGTTTGTTTATGGCAATCTGACATGGCTTTTTTAGACAGTTTCTTTGAGTGTTTAGGGGGACAATGGTATTGGGTTGTTGACTCATGGGAACATGGACTACGTCGATCATTATCCCCCACACCACACACACATTAATCATGATTAATGTCTTATTATTATTTCTTCAAGCTTAATACAAAAAATTTTCAAATTATACTCTTTATCTAATTTAGGTATTTAAATTATTTTTCGGTTAAATCAGGTATCTAACATTACAAACATTAATATATTAAGTGTTCTAACCGTGACGACCATTAAAAAATCCAGTTAACTGACACGTATCACATTTATATAATTTTAAAAATTTTATTTAAAATAAAACTTAAATTATATATTTTTCTAAAAAACCCCAAAATTTAACGGTCATCACGGTCGAAATACTTAAAATGGTAACATTAAACACTTAGATTGACCGAAAAGTCGTTTAAGCACTTAAATGAGAAAAATGGTATAGTTTGAGCACTTTTTTATATTAGACACTTGGATTTGAATAATTGTTCCTACAAGGTCTATGTGCATGTCTTATAATTGTAATGATTTGTTCTACTCTTCTGTCTATAGTTTTTTTTATGTTAAGAGTTTTTCACCGTAAATCTAATGTTCGTCTTTTTTTACTTGTTTAAGACAATTTCCTTGAATGTTTAGAGAGATAATGGTATGGGGTTGTTGACTCATGGGAACATGGATCATTATCCCTCCACCCACACACACATCTCTTATAATCGTAGTGATTTTTTTCTTTTCTTCTGCCTATAATTTCTTATGTTAAGGATTTTCACTGTAATATTATGATCTTTCCAATTACGCAACACAAGGAAACAACAAAAATTTATAACCAACAACATATGGTGATCACCACACACATATATTGTCATGCATGAAGCAGAAGAACAGATGCATGGGGAAACAGATCAAATATTCCAAAAAACGGTGAAGGAAAGTAATATTGATTTTAAGTTAAAGATGAGCAAAAGAAATATACAGTAACTCATATGCCTCATTCAGTCAAAAGTCTTTATGACTATTGAGAAAAGAGGTAGACCAATGTTGTTCACGTTGAAAGTTATAGTTTCTTTTGTGCTTCTTTCGACGATAGTGTTGGAATTCAACAGTCATAACTTTGAACCGATAAAGTTCGTTGGGGAATGGTTATCTAGAACTTTGTTATGCTTTTAGATTTTGTTAGGAAGCTTTAAGCAGAAAATAAATAATACAAGATAAATATAAAAAAAGATATGCATACATAATTTTTAAAAATAAAATTTCATCTATTACATAATTAAGTTGTAATAGGAATGAATGTAAAATTCTACGTTAAGATTATTTTTATTTTAATTCATGTAAGTAACAAATTGAGAATATAATTATATGAGTCTATTTGTTTTGGGTTAATTACCCCATTCATACACGAACTATACCCGATTTTCAGTTTCATACATAAAGTTTAAAATTTTTCAATTAACTACATAATGTTTTCTGTCGTTAATGGGTATACACATCTCCGTCACTGAAGATGACGTGGAAACCTATGACATATAACAAACTAACATGTGGCACTTAAGAAAACATGTTTTTATTATTTTTAGGTAAATTACATCATTCAATTACTTTCCCACTCTTATTTTAGTCACTAAAATTTAAATTTTTTTAATTTAATTATTATCCACCCACGGCGGGTTTTACCGAATTACACTGAGTTGTGTCGGTGTTTTTCCTCATGGGTACTGCTCCAACTCAGTTCCCATCTGAAATCACTGCAAGTTTCCATGTCAAATTTGATAACAGAACCGAGTTTTCAAGCTCCAGTTTTCCATCCACTCTTAATCTTACGAAGCTTAGCTTTCACCCCAATTCCAAGATATTATCAAAAAGCTGCTCCTGCGTCTTCTCTTAGAAACCAGTATCAAAAAGCTCAAATATCATCCACCACTGCTTCTCTATTACTTGGCCTAAACGAAGGAAGCGCTAATTTCATATAAAATGGTCGTCCACTGTAGACTTTTCATAACTTTCTGTGCTTGATTGCTCCTGTCATCCCATCGTGTTTAATGCTGCAAGGAAAACTCAAGTGTTGAACGATTCAACATTAGGAATTAGTGGTTTTGGTTTCTTACCATGTAGTAAGCTATATTTCAAAGCAACTCAGCCTCCTCTAACTAGGAACAAATTCATCCATGGCTTCAGTTTTACAGCCTTTACTTTCAGCTTACCTATTGCTGCTCCTACCTTTTTTTACTGCTCAAAGTGGTGCCGGTGAAATCGGGGTCGGCAGCTCCATCGAAGCGTCTCGGGATGCAAAACCGTGGGTTTCTCCTTCTAGTGATTTGGCCTTTGGATTTCAACAGCTTGAAAATAACAAAGATCTTTTCATCCTCGCCATTTGGTATTATAAAGTACAGAGCCGTACCATAGTTTGGTATGTGAATGGAGATAAACCTGCTCCAAAGACATCAAAGATCGTTAACAGCCGATCTGAGATTGCCACTGGTGAAGTTGCTGTTGCCAGAATGAACGATACATGCAACTTTGTGGTTTACTGTAGCGATTCCGAACGACTGTGGGAGAGCTTCGAGAAACCGACCGATACATTGTTACCGAATCAGGTGATTGATAGGGGCGGCGTTTCTTTCTTCTCCGGGAATATTAAATTAAAAAAAATAAGTTTTAGTGACTAAAATAATAGTGAGAATATAGTTGAGTGATGAATAGTGTAATTTATCTAAAAAATTAAAAAAACATGTTTTTTAATGTGCCACAGGTTATGGTTATAGGGTTCTACGTCACTTTTCGTAATGGGAGTGAGTGAATCCGTTAACGACAGAAAACATTATATAGTTAATCGAGAATTTTTAAACTTTATGTATGAAACTGAGAATTAGATATAATTCATGTATGAATGGATTAATTAACCCTTTTTTAACAACACCCTACGAAATTTAAGATTCTCCCTAACAAGCGATAATTATCACTTATCAAATTTAATATAATTAAATAAAATTCATACATGATAATGGCTACGCCCATTACTTATTTCTGCTATTGATTTTTTTTTTTTGAATTTAGGCGAGAGCCATGAGATTATCAGCTTACTTTTACTATTGAACTTAATATAAAGTATGTTCTCACGTTCATTACTTGTTTTTATTTACAAATACTTGAATTATATATGATTTAAACTTTTTAAAGAACGAAGGTCCCGAATCCTCATTTCGTTCTAATTGCCCAATGAAATTATCTCACTAAAAGGTTCAAGAAAAGACACTGTCGCGTATATTGGGGAGCTTCTGATCCCAAAACACAGAAATAAAGACCTGTTTTCAAGCAATCTCATCATCACAAAGTTGAAAGATGGAGCTTTTTTGGTTAACTTCGTGTATGAAGCTGTGAATCAAAGAAACGTGCATGAACATCAATTAATTTGTGGAATAATGACCTGGATTCCAACTTTCTTTCATTCAATACTGAGATGGAAAACAGTTCATAGCCATAGTTGTTCGGTGTATAGGTATATTGCTGATTGCCACTCAATGTATGATCAGATATATAATTATAAAAACCTTTAGCTAGTTGTGTTGCTGATAAATCCCACTCTAATAATATGACAAATACTCCCTTTAGTTGCTTAAATTACGACAGAAATTTCTCAATAATTATTTCTGCTTCATTCGTTTAATGATTTTATAAGTAAAAAAGAACACGGGTAAGTGTTAATGCAACACGTGCATCAGTCTGTTTTATGCACAAAGCAAAAGGCACCCAAAAAGCAAGTATTACATGTTGTTCTGACTCATATACTACTGCAAACCTAATTCTATATTGGTCAAAATGGATGCCTACCTAATGCCTTTAATGAAATTCTTCTTGTTTCTTTTATTATTTCATTGGCTTTGGTATTGAACCACTGCAACTAATCTGGAATGTGGATAATGGGATCTATGCTTATGCTCATGCAAGGATAGATGTAACATTTTATATTATGGAATCGGATTTATAAAATTTTAAGAAGAAATAATTTATATAATTTTAAGGAGACAAAAATACAAAGAATTTATTTAATCATGTATAAATTTAAATTTTAAAATTTTTAGGGGACCACTGCCCCACCCTCCCGCCTCTCGATCCATCATTGTACTAAGGAAAAACGTACTATGTTTACATAATTCATGAGGTTTTATCCGAAAGTCTCGCTTGTTTTTAAACAAAATAATTGATGTATATAGAGTTGTCATGTGATATTAATTGATTGATCAGAGATAACATATCAAGTAAAATTTTAATTTTAATTTTAATTTTATATATTCAAAAATAATAAATATTATATATTCAAAAATATTATTTTAAAATTATTTTATTTTTATATTTATATTTGGCATGTGGAATTTCAATTTGAGTTATCCAGGCGAAAAATCTAATTTATTGTTGGAAAGAAAACATATATCATTATATGTTAAATTTATCTAAATATTGAATTGTTCTTATAAATTGATTGATTTGGACCAAGTTTAATAAACGATAGACCGGCTTGGCTCAGATTGTATTACATTTTTAATGATTAAACTAATTTTTTTATTTAAATTTAATTATAAAAGATTTATTGTTTTTTAAAATAATAAAATGGACTATTAAGACTGAACTGGACTTGACCAAATGGGCTTGACGAAGGGACTTGAAAATTTTCTAGGTAACAACCAACCAACCCATTACACCTCTGCATGTGAAAGGAAAAGAATCTGAATTATTTTGTAGAATTACATTTTTTGAAATTATATATTATGAATTTTCATTTTATTTAAATTATTAGTAATTTTTGTAATCATATTTTTTTTATCAAGGATTTAATTTTTTTTAATATCACTTTTTATCTTTAT